TCACGGGATCGTCTACAAAAATACCGTACGTGACAGTTGGAAAAGAAGATATGGGTGCGAGATGGATAATTAAACACCACGAAGAAGGAAGTTTCATTAATAGCTGTGTATATTGAAAGAAATCGACATAATCCCTGATTATGCGCGATTGACTATTATTACCTTAACCATTACAAATCACACATGTAACGGGTAATCAATATAATAAATAAGTATTAGTAACGGGCATGAATTAAGTAGGGCAAGACAGTTACACATTGTATCCTTATATAAACCACCTTATCATATCTTGTATGATCATCAAGAAATTTAAGAAACTATACTATCAATTGCTTATAATTTTATTCTCTGCTACTTGAAGATCATATTCTCTCATTTTGGAAGGAAGATGCGATTATCAATTACATTTATTTTTCCTTATTCTCTCGATATTTTATTTCCATTATTTGATATTCATTTAAATTAGGAAAGTGAAGTAAAATTGGTTACTAGAAACCCGAATTATTCTTTTATTTGCTTTGATCACAAGAACTATTTTTTGGTTAGACATATGTAGGCGAGGCGAGGCGAGGCGTGCCTGATGAATGGTAGGTATGCGGCCCTGCTATCAGCATCAGATACAACGGAGAATAAGAGCCTGTTTGGCCAAGCTTCTGGGAGGTCAAAAGTACTTTTTCCCCCAAAAAAGTACTTTTTAAAAAATTTGAGTTGTTTGGCCAATACAGAAAAGTACTGTTCGCCAGCAGCAGAAGCAATTTTTCTGCTTTTGGGAAGAAGCAGAAAATTCTAGCTTCTTCCAAGAAGCACAAGCAGAAGTGGAAAATTAATTTATTCAAGACAAAACTATCTTCACCATAAATTTATATTTTTCAAATTATCCCTTACTAATGTAAGTTTTTTCTTTTCATTTTTGTTTCTAGTTACCATCCTATTGAAATTAAAGATATCATATGTAACGACCCAACCGGTTATTTTGCTTTCTAGAACCCCGTTCCCCTGAATAAGACTTCTTGTACTTGCTTTAACTGATTTATGACATGTGGGGATGGTTGATTCGGGATTTGGCAGAGTTTGGGTTGAAATCGAAACACTTGGTTCCTTAAGGTTGGCTTAAAAGGCCAAGTTTGACTTCAGTCAACGTTTCGAGTAAACGACCTCGGAATCCGTATTTGAAGGTTCCAGCATATTTGTATGATGATTCCGGACTTGGGCGTATGTCCGGATCGGGTTTTGGAGGACCCGGGAGCGTTTTGGCGCCTAATAGTGAAAGTTGATTCCTTAAGGATTTTAAAGTTCCTTAAATTTGGTTTGGAGCGGGCTTTTGTATTATCGAGGTCCGAACGGAATCCTGAGACTGGGAATAGATCCTTAATGTCATTTAAGACTTGCACGTAAAATTTAGTGTCAATCCGAGTAGTATAAGTGTGTTTCGTCGCATTGGAAGTAGACTAAAGAACTTGAAGTTCATAAGTTTGATTCAATTGGTTTTAGGGGGTGATTATTAGATTTAGCGTTTTTTCAGGCATTCTGAGGGTTCTAGCGAGTACGTTTTATCATTTCAAACCTATAGTTATGTTCGGGCAGGGCCCCGGTAGCCCCGAGCGTCAATCGGACGAGGCTCGAGCTTAGTTGGAAATGTGGGTAAGGGCTGAAGCTTCAGGCTTCTGTCATACCCACACCTGCGGTTGGCCAGCCGCAAAGCAGCTAGGCCATCGCAGATGCGGCCATGGGTGGCCAGCCCAGGAGCCGCAGAAGCGGTCTATCCGGCAAAAGCGATTTGCTTCTCGCAGAAGCGGCCCAGCCGGCTAGGGGAATTTCCACAGAAGCGGACTCATTTTCGCAGATGCGGTGGGCGCAGGTGCGGCCCAGGACCGCAGATGCGGAAATCAGTGAAGGCAGTGACCTTCATTTATTGAGGGTGTTAACCATTTTTGGCTCATTTTCCACTCAAAGGTTGGGCGATTTTGGAGCTCTTGAGAGAGGATTTTCACAAAGCTCTTAGAGACAAGTAATTCCTACTATATGTGAGTTAAATACTTGAATTTTGGGTAAATTAACATGTAAAGATTAGTGAAAATCATGGGATTAGAGTAAAACCTAGGGTTTTGATAAAAACGTGATTTAACCACGAAATTCGTTATGGAATGAAGTAAAAATCATATTCTTGATCCTTAGGTTATGGGTAATAACTTCCTTCGAAAATTTCCGGAATCCGGGTACGTGGGCCCGGGGTTGAATTTTAGGAACTTTTCCCTTGGGGTTGGATAATTGCTTTAATAGCTAGAATATGAATTTGTAAACCTATAATGATGGACTTTTACACTATTTGAATAGTTTCGGATTGTGCGGCTCTAGTTTGAGAGTTTGGACGCATTCTTGAGTTGGAAGTAGGCTCGAAACAAGGTAAGTCTCTTTTCTAACCTTGTAGGGGGAAATGTCCCCATAGGTGAACTTAATTAGTACTCCCTCCGTTCCAGTTTACGTGAACCTATTTTCTTTTTAGTCCGTTCCAAAAAGAATGAACCCTTTCTAAATTTGGAAACAATTTAGCTTAAACTTACAATTTTACCCTTACTGAGAAGCTTTTATAACCACACAAATACTCTGGGCCCCTTTTTGGCTTGTTTAGGACCACAAATTCCAAAAGTCTTCAGTTTTACTTAAACTTCGTGCCCAGTCAAACAGGTTCATATAAATTGGAACGGAGGGAGTATATGATTAATTGTGGGGGCTACGTACGCACGAGGTGAGAGAGAGTCCGTGTGTAGCTACTATTCCTGTTATGTCCGGGTAGTTCTAGGATTAAATCATGCTTTTTGGCCGCTATTAATTGCTTATATATGCTAATGGTTTGAAAGAAATTGAGTTGAAGGAAACCTAAGGACTTACAGGCTTCAAGTGAATTGTATTCATTTTTATAAAAAGGGATTAAAGAAGTGTTGTGTTTTAAATGATGAAAATTATGTTGACTGCATCGCACGTATGATTCGCGAGCGGGGTTACACTTTTACCACGTCGCACGTATGATTAGCGAGCGGGGTGAATAGATGCATCTATGGTTCGTGCCGTTCGACCCTCGGCAGTGCACATTTTACTTTTATGTTGGATCGGGCCGAACGTCCTCGGCGGTATTTGTGTGTGATAATAGAACTGGAACCCTTATATTTCGTATGACTTATTGTTGGAAAGGTCACTTATTTTAAATGAGGAAAGTGCTTAGTTTTATTAATTGGGTGGAAGGATTTACAATAATTATTCTTGTTTGAGCTTGTTGTCATCTACATAAAATGTGAATTAATTATATCAAACTCCATATTATTATATTTGCTGGCCCTAGTAAGTGTCGGAGTCGACCCCTCGTCACTAATTCTGCGAGGTTAGGCGAGATACTTACTGGATACATATTTTTATGTACTCATGCTACACTTCTGTACTTGATTGTACAGACTTTGAGGCAGGTGCATCTGGCCATCAGTCCGGGGCATAGAGTGGTCATCTCAGCTCGAGACTTTCCGGTGAGCCGCCCTTTCGAGCCGATCTGCAGCAGCTGGAGTCTCTCTTTTGTCTTTATGTTCATGTCTATTTATTTTCCAGACAGTAGGATAGTATGATTTTAAATATTCTACTAGATTGCCCACACACTTATGACACTAGGTCTTGACACATACATTAGTAGAATTTTGATGTTTTGGCTTGCCTTCATTATTGAGATTTGCATTTAATTCTTCATTTAAATATGCTTAAGTTTTAAAACTATAAATCTCTTAAACCTATAATGGAAGTTATCACGTACTAACTACATAAATGTGGATTTACTATTTGATTAGTGCTGGCTTGCCTAACAACGGTGTTAGGCGCCATCATGGCCTAATATAGAATTTGGGTCGTGACAACATGGTATTAGAGCACCAGGTTCACGTAGGTCTCACAAGTTATGGGCAAACCCGGTAGAGTCTTGCGGATCGGTATGGAAACGTCTGTACTTATCTTCGACATGCTATAGTGAGACTCGAGGTTTGTCAATAAGACAGACTATCATTCCTAAGAAGACTTTGAGCAACAGCTTTTGACTTAGTTTGGTTTATAGTGCTTGTTTCTTCCTCTCATCATCTTCTAAGGAAAAATAGTGAGATGAATGTACTAAGATTTATAGTCATTTTCACAATTCCTTGACTTCTGACCCATAATTGCTCCACCCAACAGGTTATTAGTCCATGCAATCATCAAACACGCTGAAAAGATTATTAAGAAATGTTTTAGTTTCAAAGTTGACCAAATCAAAGCTTCTGATTATGGTAACTTACTAATTGTTTACATTTCTTCACGCGTTGTAGTTGTAATGAAAATAGTTAAAAAAGTTAGTTTTTACTCGCTTAAACGGCTTTCATTTAACTATTACCCTCTCTATCAGTCAAGTTGCTGCCATGTGACCAAGAAGTCACGTGTTCGAGCCGTGAAAACATATTCTTGTAGAAATGCAGTGTAAGGCTGCGTATAATATACCCTTGTGGTTAGCTCTTTCCCCGGACCCCGTGCATAGCGGGAGCTTAGTGCATCGGGTTGGCCTTGCCCTCTTTTATCAGCTAACTATGATTTTCAAAGTCTTAACTTCAAAATGCATTCCCACATGCAAGCCGGCAGTTGTCTCTTCTTACTTTGTTATATGTTATAACTTGGACTGCTCCTGAAATTTTCCTACTCACCAATTGCTGCAGGCATGAAGTCTTTTAATGCTTTCCTTTGTCTTATGCTAATTTCTTGCTTATTATGTGTTGTTTCTGCAATTGCATCTTCCAAACTTGCTGGAAATGAAACTGATAGATTAGCCCTTCTCAGCATCAAAGGACAAATAACTTATGATCCTTTTGGTATTATGTATTCTTGGAACGATTCGTTCCATCACTGCAGCTGGCAAGGTGTTACATGTAGTGCGCGACATCAAAGGTTGACTTTGCTGGATTTAACAGCTTGTAGGAACATTAGTTCCTCAGATATGAAATATGAGTTTTCTTAGAAAACTAACTCTTCAAAATAACACCTTCAACAGTGAGATTCCACAGGAAATCGGAAGATTATTAAGGTTACAAAACTTAGAGCTCGCGAACAGTTCATTTACTGGTGAAATTCCTGTGGAACTATCAAATTGCTCTAGGCTCATTTATCTTGATTTGGATGGGAACAGACTGACCGGGAAAATCCCCGTGGAACTTGGTTTGTATTTCAGAAATCTTCAGGTACTTTTTCTTAGATCAAATAATATAACAGGAGAGCTGCCATATTCTTTAGGTAATCTTTCATCTCTAATTGCCTTAGCAGCACCAGAGAATAGATTAGAAGGAAGTATACCATATTCATTAGGCCAATTGACTAACTTGAGCTATATTTCTCTTGGTGCTAATATGATTTCTGGTGCTATTCCACTTTCACTCTTTAACTTATCTTCTCTTTATCATTTTGCTGCTCCAGTTAACCAACTAAAAGGAAGTCTTCCCATAGATATTGGATCGACTCTTCCAAGTCTTCGCTTACTTTATTTGCACTCTAACTTATTGAGTGGAGTGGTTCCAAGTTCCATTTCTAACTTAACGAGACTTGAAATTATCTCATTATCAAGAAACCAGTTGACCGGAAAAATCCCTTCTCTGGAAAATCTTCATTATCTCCGGGGACTAGGAATGCATTTCAATAATCTTGGAACCGGGAGAGAAGATGACATGGATTTCTTTTCTTCCTTGGTTAACATTACCAGTTTTCGAGAGCTGAGTTTGAGTGTGAATAATATAGGAGGCCAGTTGCCTAAGAATATTGGCAACTTCTCAACCAAGTTTAGATCTATTGGTTTTGCTAGGAACAAACTATTCGGACGAATACCTGATGGATTTGTAGATCTCAGCAACATGGAAATAGTAAGTTTGGAGTATAACCAATTGATAGGGGAAATTCCAGTTAATCTTGGTAGACTTCAAAAGCTCAAGTATTTCTATGTTAATGGAAATAAACTTTCTGGGAAAATCCCTTCTTCCATAGGAAACTTAACATCTTTGTATGGACTTAATCTAGCTCAAAACAATTTAGAAGGGACTATTCCTTCAGTTCTTGGAAATTGCAAGTTGTTGCAAATGTTGTACCTTTCTCAAAACAGACTCAGTGGCACAATACCAAAAGAAGTTCTTAGTATCTCAGCCTTGTCAATCCAACTAGACCTTTCTGGAAACCAATTAAGTGGCACTCTTCCTCTTGAAATAGGAAGTTTAGTCAATCTCGGGTATCTTGATATCTCCGACAACAAGTTATCTGGAAAACTTCCGAGCACTTTAGGCAGTTGCATTAGGTTGGAAAACCTCTATGTTCAAGGTAACATGTTTGAAGGTGTGATCCCGTCGTCTTTAAGCTCCTTGAAAGGGCTGGTATACTTGGACTTTTCGCGTAATAATTTCTCTGGTGTTATTCCTAAGTACTTTGAAACTTTCACATCATTGAAAAGCTTAAATCTGTCATTTAATAATTTTGAGGGTGAAGTACCTCAAGGAGGAGTTTACAGTAATGCAAGTGGAGCAATAATAAGTGGAAACAAAAATCTTTGTGGAGGTTCTCAAGTGCTAAGGTTACCATGTAAAGATCCAATTCCGAAGAAGAAAAGATTATCACCAACTCTAAGGATAATTATTTCTGTTGCTTGTAGTTATTTGGAGTAATGCTGGTTTTGGTACTCATAGCTTTCTGTATTTTGAGGAGGCGGAAACTTAGCGCTTCGCCCTATTTACCAGATGATTCATTTCTGAAAATCTCCTATGGTGAACTGCTGAAAGTGACCAATGGATTCTCTTCAGAAAATTTCATTGGTAAGGGTGGTTTTGGTTCTGTATACAAAGGAATTCTTGGTTCAGATGAGAAAAATGTTGCGATCAAAGTACTTGATTTGCAGCATAGAGGAGCTTTGAAGAGCTTTATTGCAGAATGTGAAGTCCTAAAGAACCTTAGGCATAGAAATCTTGTCAAGTTAGTAACTGCATGTTCAGGTACTGACTTTCAGGGCAACGATTTTAAGGCCCTGATTTACGAGTTCATGGTTAATGGTAGCCTGGACGATTGCTTGCATTCATTTTCCAATGATGGAAGTCTGCACGTACGACATCTAGATCTTTATCAGAGAGTCAACGTTGCAATTGATATTGCTTTCGCGCTAGAGAATCTTCATCAGGGAAGCCAAATACCAGTTGTTCATTGTGATTTGAAGCCGAGCAATGTTTTACTAGATAAGGACATGACTGCCCGTGTGGGCGATTTTGGTTTGTCAAGGTTTCTCCTAGAGACATCTCAACAGACTTCAACAAGAGAAACTAGCACTATTGGTATTAAAGGATCAGTTGGCTATGCAGCTCCAGGTAACCATTTTAATCATTCTGATTGTAAATTTTACATAACTCGATACACATTTGACCAGTCGCCAAAAATAATTAATCTGCTAGCCAAATATACAAAAAAGATACACTGATTATGTATAAAATATGTTTATATTATACATTAATATACAAAAAATAAACATTTTGCTGGCTAATTCTTTTGGGAGCGGCTATACACTATAGTTTCCCTTTAATTTTCTTGAAAACACTTAGGCAATAATTACAAAGTGTCTGTCTTTTGATATGGCATTACTGAAATGTTTGCAGAATATGGAACGGGAAGTGAAGTGTCAACTTATGGTGATATATACAGCTATGGCATTATCATACTGGAGATTATTACGGGGAAAAAGCCAACAGACGACACCTTTTCAAATGGACTGAACCTTCATAACTATGTTAAAATGGCTTTCTCTGCTGGTAGAGTTATGGAAATTGTTGATCCAATGCTTTGTCACGACTTGGAAGAAGAGGAGACAACCAACAGTACTATTGCTGAAAGGAAAACCAAAGATTACATTAGAAAGTGCTTAATTTCTATGTGTAAAATTGGGATTGCTTGCACCATGGAATCACCAAAAGAAAGAATGGGTATAAGTGATGTTGTTAAAGAGTTGCAGTTGATCAAAGAAACTTTATCTAAATCTGATGAGAATTATAATCATTAAATTTATTTGAAGTATATGTAAATGTATTCAAGCTATTGTATTAATAGAAAATAAATATGACACGTAGAATTATGTGTGGCTGACAAGGCATGATACGTGGATCACTAAGAAGGTGACAACTGGAATACTACATTAGAAGATGCACGAGATACAAGAGGCACGGTCAAATCACTCACGAGATGAAGGGATGCAGTTGCTCGAGTCTAAATCATTCAGTAAATATGGGCTGAGTGAATCAAGACAGTAAGAAGGGGAAGATTCACGAACCTCTAATTAATGAGGAAGAAGAATTGGAACCGTTACAGAATCTCCACAAACAGTTACGATTGTCAATTATAAAGGATCATTAGTGTCATTAATGTCATAATGATTCGGCCATAAAAGGGAGGAAACGTTATATTTGCAAACCCCTATAAAAGGGAAGAGAATTTCATTTGTAAGGATCATTTGAGACTATCTTGGAACATATTCACTTTACTTTTCTGCTATCTTCTCTTTGCAATCAATCATTTCTTTACTTATTTTTGTCTTTTCTTTTCATATAATTGAGAAAATACGGAATTTCTTGGTTATTAGTAACCCGAGTTCTTCTAAAAATAAGTTTTGACCGAAGTACACATTTTTTGGTTAAACGAATTGGTCCCGTTACCGAGAATCTGATAATCTTTTCACTTTCCAAATTCATTTTCTGTCAAACAATCATGTCAACTGGCAACGACAACAACCAACAAAACCAACTGAACCAACAGAATCAACAAGAGGATGAAACTCCAATCCCTTCACCCTAAAATTCTCCTCAACACTCCCGAGACGAGTCACCTGAAAGATCAACGTCACATGCGAATAATCAACAAGGGGACGATCAAACTACTGAAGATGCATTGAAACAACTAATTGTGGAACACGTCAACAATGCTCTTCAAGCTTTCGTTAGTGGATTACCAATTGTACCCCCAACTCCACCTCCAAACAACACCGCAACCATAGAGAACCCACGCTCAGGACTTGCTAATTCAGGCAGTGGAGCAACTCCCGGCTAATCTCGCGATGGAAGGTCAAGTACCCCAAATAATTCTAATTTACAAAATTTAGTACTAACTTTGCACAAACAGCTCAAGGAGGAGAACGATCGCATAGAGCAAATACCTGGTGTGCCACCCGTGATTAAAGGAGTGGTTATTGATAAGTATTCTCAACAGCCCTGGAAGCCAAGTGCCGCTCCCTTGCCGATTCCGAAAAAGTTTAAGATGCTCGATATTCCGAAGTATGATGGGGCAACCAACCCAAAAGATCATGTAACTGCATTTACAACTAGCATGAAAGGCAACGACTTGACCAAGCAAGAAATTGAGTCAGTGCTGGTCAAAATATTTGGCGAAACACTCACAAAAGGAGCATTAACATGGTATTCTCTTTTACTAAAAATTTCTATTGATTCTTTTGCAGAGCTTGCAGACTCATTTATAAAAGCGCACTCGGGAGCTCAAAAGGTTAAAAAGAGGATGGACATCTTCAAAATAAAACAGGGAGGTACTGAGCTACTTAGGAAATTTGTGGATAGATTTCAGCGTGAAAGTATGATGTTACCACGTGTACCTGATAATTGGGCGGCCATGGCGTTTGCAAGTAACCTAAATGAAAAAAGCTTAGAAGCCACGAGGAGACTCAACGAAAGCTTACGAGAATTCCCTGCTACAACTTGGAATGATGTTTATAACATGTATAGCACGAAGCTACGGATAGAGGAAGATACTATCACTCAATCACAGGGAGATAAAAGAACAAGTTCGAGGCGACCAGAAATGGAAAAAAGGTCTGACCAGAACAGGTACAAACCTTACATGGGACCAGCAGTACGGGATTCACGTTCCAAACAGGAAAACCTGAGGAACTGTTCTAGATCAAGGGACAGAGATGCAAGTTCATCATCTAAGTTTGGAAAGAAGCTAGATGCGCGGGATAGTAATACGAAGGCAAAGATTGGTGATTACAGTTTCAATGCTAGCACTTCTGAGCTAGTAGCTATTTTAAGAAGTATGGGAGATAAGGTGCGGTGGCCAAAAGAAATGAGATCGAACCCTAGCAGAAGAAACCCAGATTTCTGGTGCGAGTTTCACAATGATCACGGTTATAAAATAGCAGATTGCAGATTGCTACAAGGTGAAGTAAAGCACTTGTTAAAATAAGGTTATTTAACTGATTTGTTTAGTGAGAAGGGTAAGCAAGCGTATATGAAGAATAGACAAGAGCCACCAAAATCTCCGTCACCAAAAAGAATGGTTAATGTGATAAGCGGAGGAGAGCGGGTTAACGGTGTGACGTATACGGCTGCAAAAAAGATGTCAAAAGTCATAGTTACTCACGAAAAGCGAATTCGCCAAGTTTTGGAAGAAGACAACATAACGTTTGATGATGCAGATGCAAATGGCGTGATGATCCCACACAATGATGCACTGGTAATATCTTTACTTGTACATGATATTAATGTGAAACGAGTTTTGATTGATCCAGGTAGCTCTCTAAATATCATTCTCTTAAGAGTGGTAAACGAGATGCAAGCGAATGATAAATTGGTACCCAAAGCAAGTACCTTATCTGGATTAGACAATTCAAGCGTTTTTACAAAAGGGGAGATAGTGCTCACCACATTCGAGAAGGAGCAGTTAAAGATACGAAATTTCAAGTGATAGATACGGACATGGCGTATAATATGATTCTCGGCAGACCTTGGATTCATGAGATGGATGTCGTTCCGTCTACTTTACATTAGGTTATTAAGTTCCCTTCACAATGGGGAATTAGACAAATCTGTGGTGATCAGCAGGCTTCTAGAAGTATCAATTCAGTGGCAGATTCAAGCATAAAGAACGGTGTTGCAGACAAAAAATAGCAATTACAGAATTCAATTGAGGATTTAACAGCACAAACCTCAACTGGAGATGTGCAAACGGATTTAGACTCAAGGCCTGATTTCACTCAAGAGCCCGAAGAGAACAAAAACATCAAAACATCAATTGAAGAACTCGAAGCAGTGGTGCTGTTTGTACATTGGCCGGACAGAAAAGTTTACATCGGAACTAACCTGAGCGCAGAGATGAAAAGTAAGTTAATTGAATCTTAAAAGCTAACGCAGACTGATTTGCTTGGTCGCATTCAGATATGACAGCTATACCACCGGAGGAAATGACCCATAAGCTAAATGAAGATCCGACATATCCACTTGTCAAACAGAAGAAACGGAACCAAGGATCCTTCAAAAACCAGGTGATTCAGGATGAGGTACAAAAGCTTTTAAAAATCGGGTCTCCGATAGGTAAAATAGCCTAATTGGCTAGCTAATACTGTAGTGGTACCTAAAAAGAATGGTAAATGGCGAGTTTGTGTAAATTATACTGATTTGAATAAAGCTTTCCCTAAAGATTCTTTTCCTTTACCGCACATAGATCAACTAATTGATGCTACTGCAGGACAAGAATTGTTGAGTTTTTTAGATGCCTATTCAGGATATAATCAGATAAAAATGGATCCTTTAGATGAGGAAAAAACTTCCTTTATTACAGAGCCCTTCTTTCTAAAGAATGTTGGAGCCCACGTACCAAAGGTTAGTAACAAAAACGTTTCAAGAACACTTAGGAAAAATTATGGAAGCTTACATCGATGACATGCTAGTCAAGTTAGCACAGGCGGGGGATCACATCCAACATTTGTCAGATACATTTCAGATTCTCCACAAATTCAATATGAAGTTAAAACCCGAAAAGTGTGCACTCGGCGTGTCCTCAGGTAAGTTTTTAGGTTTCCTTGTTTCTAACCGAGGAATTGAAGTGAACCCAGCACATGTTAAAGCCATTGAAGAAATACCGGACATACTCACGAGCAAAAAAGGAGGTGCAGAGGTTGACAGGTAGGATAGCAACATTGGGGAGATTTATTTCTAAATCTTTGGAGAAGAGTTTTAAGTTCTTTTCAGTGTTGAAAAAGCAAAGCCATTTTAAGTGGACTAAGGAATATCAACAAGCACTCAAAAATCTAAAAATGTACTTGTCAAACCCACAGTTGTTGGCTAAACCAAAGGATGGAGAAAGGCTACTCATCTATCTCGTTGTGTCAGAAATGGTGGTAAGTGCACTGTTAGTTCGAGAAGACAAAGGTAAACAATCTCCAAATCTTATGTTAGAAAATCTTTGTTGGATGTTGAAACTCGATATCCTCATTTAGAAAAACTTGCTTTAGCACTAATCATGGCATCCAGAAAGTTGAGGCCTTATTTTCAATGTCGCCCTATCTTTGTAGTGACCCCTTACCCCTTAAGAAATATATTGCACAAGGAAGAACTATAATGTAGATTAGCCAAGTGGGCTATAGAACTAAGTGAATATGATATTACATATCAACCTAGAACTGCGATAAAATCACAAGTTTTAGCAGATTTCGTGGCAGACTTCAGCCAAGGAATAGTACCAAAAGCAGAAAAGGAACTGAAGGTATTCAACGGGTCTAATCCAGGTACATGGACCATATTTACTAAAGGCTCCTCGAATGTAAAAGGAATGGGTATAGGCATTGTTCTGATTCCACATTTGCGAGAAACTATAAGGCAGGCAATAAAGTGCCATTTACTAATAATGAAGTAGAATATGAAGCTGTAATTGCAGGTCTGGAATTGGAAAGAGAGCTCGAAATAATGCAGATTATAATCAAGATCGACTCACAACTTGTAGTTAATCAAATGCAGGGGACTTATATAGATAGAGAGGCGAGGATACAACAATATTTGGAAAAGGCACAAGACTTAATCAGACAGTTCCAATCTTGGAAAATCGTGCAAATACCCAGGGAAGAAAATGCTGAAGCAAACGCGCTAGCTATACTCGCATCCGCCGTAGAAGTAACAAATGAAGAAAATGCTTCCGTAATACATTTGTTTTATTTGGCACTCGATCAGGACAAAAACGAGTACGGGATTCTACCTGGAGATAAGAAAAAGGCTCAGGCACTTC